CCCCAAAACCCCAAAACCCCAAAACCCCAAAAAAACATCAAAATATGTTAATGAAATCTAATGCTATACTGAATAAATTTCTCTTTAAAAATAAATCTAAATATATATATAGAAGCACTATCGAAATCAATCTCTCTATTATTCATTTTCTGTGCTTATAAAAAGGCTGATCATCCTTAAAAAATCTTCTGCAAGCTATATTTCTATTCAAAGATATCATGTAAAATGATCCCTCTTTTTTGCCTTAGCTAAAATACCCAGAGTAGCTAATATCTTCATCAATAGATTAACTCCCAAACTAATCTTTAAGGTTTTTGTTCAGACCTCCCTAATATGATATTAAAGAATCTCTATCATAGATAGTTCCTATACCGTGATAAAATCCAGCTTACCATTAGCCCTCATAATTTTTATGCCCATTTGGGAAGTAACTACAGCCATATCCATCCCTTTTACCATGCTAGAATTCTCCTTCATAACTAATAGATCCGTGCATGTAATGTTCTATACCCCTAAACTTCTAACCTTTTTGAAATATTCCATCAAATGCTTTTTACTAATTTAGATAGTATAGTATTCCTCTCCCTTCAAATAAACCACTAGAATAATTTCCATCGTATGCTTTTCCTCCAATAATGTAAAACATTGTCCCCTATCCATGAGGCTTCCCGTTAAGTGTTTCTCCCAAATATTAAAATACTTTTTAATCAGGTTTAGGACATTAGTTTAACTATTGATGTCCTACTCCTTATGCAATAAAAATCATTTCTATTATAGTATTATCTAGAATTTCCTGAGAGAATTCTATTGCATTAGATAAATCATCTCTTTTGTTAAAAGAACTAGTAGTTACACCAAAATCAAAAGTTGTGCTAATTAGACCTTTTGTTTAATAATCCAAGGTTTAAATAGCTTGATTAGATGTTTTGTCCATTTCTATCAAACAATTGTCCTCCTCTTATATGACTTCTACTTTAATCTCCTGAAATCAATTGTTCAAATCATATCAATCATCTTACATTGGATAATAATCATTTGTATGACTCTCTATACTCTTGAAAATAGATTAGGACTTCATACTTTAGATTTAAGTACTCATAAAAGAGGTAACATTTCGATGAAAAAATTCATTATTGCTTTAATTACTTTGCAATAGATTATTAGGTGGATTAAAAGGTGGAATAAGTTTTGCTTTGATTAAATTCTCCTAGCTTTTAATTGCTAACATTTCAGAATTCATGAGACTATTTATTGATGTCCTTTGTTTAGGATCATAGTTAAGTAACAGATTCAAGTAATTTTGTAAATCTGAAGAATAGTAATTACTTAGATTAACTGTTGGTTTAGAAATTCTTTTCTTGTCTTTAATAGATTAATTGATTTAGTTGTTTTAATGCCTATTCATTTAAACATATTCATAGAGTAAATATTTTTTCCCATTTATTTCATAATAGTTTGATTGTTCACATAGGTAATAAATAAAAACTCCTAGTTGCCAGGAATCTTCTCTTTTAGATATGAATATGCAGTCCTCTTATTCTCTGGTTATTTAATGAGCTCCACTTCTTTCTAGTAAATTAGGCATTTAAATAGTTTAGGGGGATCTGCAGTTATAATTTACAATTGAAACACTTTAAATAGCATTTTAATCTGTATCTAAAGGTGGATCCATTAAAACCAAATTATTTGATGTGACTTTGATTGAGTCTGGTCCTAAATTCAAGTATGGTTACTTTTCAAGGTGAAATTAGTAGATTATTCAAACTATTTTGTAAATCAATTTCCATATGAAAGTTTCATCAAGTTTTATTTTATGTTATTAATGTTACTCTATAATATCTTTAAAAGTCAGCCCTGCTTCAAATTGCCTAATTTTTTCCTAAATAAATTTTATTTCCTATTCCTACATAAACAAATAAATTTTAATTTATTAATAATAAATTCTCTTTTCCTACTTAATATACCTATTTGGGGTTTTGGGGTTTTGGGGTTTTGGGGTTTTGGGG